TCTTGCATTGCTTGTATCTGTTCTTTACTCGCTTTATGAAACTGGTAAGTTTTTGTTGAAAAGAATATTCTGCTTGGCTTATATTCGAACCAGTCTAGTACTATGTCTATTTGTTTGTGATCTGTTGGTATGGCCTGTTGTTCTGAGACCTTGTAGCAGAGAATTTTGTTGACAAGATTTCTGGTAATCCAGATTTGATCAATTTTTGAAGCGCTGGTGATTGTTATGTATATGTAGAAATGTTCTTTGTTTATGGCCTTTGCAACATCCACAAAGTTAATAAAGTACCTATATATGTTTCTTTTGAAGAAAGAGAAATGTGCATTTATTGAGAAGGCTGATTTAGGATAAGAGTTGAAATCATCTGCGATTATGATATGTTTCTTGTGATGCTGTTGAATAAAGCTTCTTAGTGATAATACTGCTATTTTTCTTGCTGTTCTCTCATGTGACAGATAGCAGGATACTATTATAATATCAATTTTGGGCTTGAACTTGAGATGTACTGCGCACCAGTACTTGTTTGTTGAAAAAGTTTTAAATATATGTGTGGCTATTGCTCTGGTTATGATGATGCATGCACTGTTGATTGTTGAAGTGCTTGGGTAACTTGAGATAATTGTGTTGTTGTTTGATATTTTTGGTAAAGAACTGACTATTGAGGCTTTTGTTTCTGTGACACATAAGATTCTTCTTTCACTTTTCATTGCTCTGGTGAGTTCATTAAGCTTTCCTCTTTATGTAAGGCCTCTGACGTTAAGGGTGGTAATATTGATAAGGTTTTTAAGGGAAGTGTATATGTTGTTTAGGAAGTATTGAGAGTTGGTCTGAGTTGTATCTGTCATTAAATTAGATTAGGGAGGAGAGCCAGTGCCGGTTTGGGTGACTTAGGTTCAATTATATATTCGGAAGGAAGTTTTTCGAAGTGAAAGTGGTTGCCAAGAATTTTAATGTTGTTGTTCGGTTGTGGATCATCAGTAAGTGAAAGGGACAGGTTGATATTGTTGTCTTTCAGGATTTTGTTGGCTTCTGTGATGTCTGGCAGATCAGGTAGGAAAGGTGTGATCTAGTCTCTAAGAACCTCTCCAAAGTATTTATTTTTAATTTTTGTGATTGTTTGTTTGAATTCTGAAGAGTCTCTATTTAGTTGTTCTTTAATGATGTCGAGTTCTGTTTCAATTATTGTGAAGTCATCTGATATCTTGAGTTTATTTGATTGGCTAAGGTTGTCCTTGATCCATTCTGGGCCTAGGGGAAGTTTTACGTGGAATTTGTTCTTTAGGCTTCAATGAGATTGTTTGCCTTCTCTTGCATGGTGGCTGGAAGAAGAATAGAGTTATTTTCACTGTATCAGTGTGAAGAAGGAAGTGGCTGCTTTACTCTGATGTAGTCTAAAGGAAGACATTTAACCGCATAATTATTTTCTCTTAAGAGCTAAACTCCTTTTTTGAATTCTTCTATGATATTAACAATTGGGAAGTATTTGGTAAGATTGGATGGCAGATCTCTATATGAAGGGGAGAGATGTTTCTTTGGTAGAAGAAGGTCGAAGTAAGACTCTGGTAATTTGTTGGGAACATAGTAGTGTTCTCTAAGTTTGTTAACACGGAATTTGAGATCTGCGAGTTCATATCTCTCCATCAAGGGAAACCAGTTGGCAAATTCTTTGAGGAGAAATCTTTAGGTTTGTCAAGTAGGCCAGGTCTTTTGATGAAGTATGAGGTAGGTAAAGTGTCAAAATTGTAGAAAGCCCTAAGGTTGCCTGTGACCTTGATTGTGTCATTTCTTGAGATAATCGGGATACTTTTGGAATTCTGATTTTGATTGAGGTTGGGATGTCCTTGGAGTCGTCTGGTAGTACTGGTATGTCTTTTTGGATATGCTCTTTGCATATTTTGTAAAGTTTCAGATAGTCAATTTTCTGGAGAGAGGAGTCAAGAAAAAAATTGAATCTGTATTCTAGTAACTGGACTACTTGCCAATATTTGAGAAGTGCGAGATCAGTTGATCTGAGATAAGCAACAAAGAGTACTTTATTAATAATTTTTTTGATCTTGTTTCTGTTAGTGTGAATGATATACTCCAAATTATTAGCCTGACAGTAGTTGGAGTGAAATTGTTTTTCAAGCTTTTCATATTCTTTCTGATGTTGGCCCTTGATTAGTTCATCTTTTGCAAATGTTCTAAAGAAATCGCGGTCTCTGTGCTTGATTTTGGAGAATATGCCTTTAAGAGAGATTCTTGATATGCCTGGTGATTCACTTTTGATTTTAAAGAAGAGGCCAACAATTGATTTGGTATCTCTATCACAATTATTGATTTTCTCGCATAGTTCTAGGATTTTTTCTTGTTTATTGGGTTGATTAGTATCTCTTATATCAAGAGTGTTAGTGTTATTTGCTTGAGTCACATAATTTCTCCAATGTTTCATTATATAGGGGTATCTGGTGATCTTAAGAAAAAATCCTTTGTTTACTACCTGGATGACTTTTACCGACATTTTTCATATGCGTACAGGCCAGATCCTGCGGGAAAAAACTATATCCTTGAAATAACTGATGGTGAAACGCTTGTAAAATGGAATGACGATGAAGTAAAGAAATGTTGACTCATTAAAATTATTTGGATGGTGGTTCAGGAAAGAAGGACTGACTATATACTTGTACTTCGATAACAAACCAAATTTGAGAAAGGCAAAGAATTGAGTGGAATCAAATCATCCAGGTGTAAAGGCTTGGGAAATAGAGAAAAGAAAAAGTTGGTCAGAATAATATTTATAGGTTCAATCCAAATTTCTATTTCTGAAATTTTTTTAAATGCTCTTTCGTATTAATGATGATAAAATTCAACGGATGGCATATATCCAACGAATAAAGACGTTTACTGCACCATCGATTTCAAATTTAAGTTCGGAAAATATCCTTGCCTTTTTGCAGTAACCGCTCAAAGCCAGAAAAAGTCGGATAACATATACTAATAACATATACATCTTTTTTCCGAGAGACAGAGGAAAAAGTAAAATGTTGTGTCACGTGATAGTGATGTAACTCGACCGTGACTGAGTAGACATGGTCTCGAAGTTTGGCACTTTTTTTATATGTAATATTGTAAGGCATGATGTTTATTAAATAATTAATAAAGTTTACCCATATCGGGCTACCTGCATGCGTATTGGTTAATCGACACATCAAATCTGTAGCCATTTATGAGTTTGGTATCTTTGGATTGTGCTCGCTTGCTCATTTGTTGCTTAATGCGGATGTTAGTGCAAGAATTTTATGGATCTGTTTAGTATCACATTTATGAATGGGAATTGAGTAATAAAGTCACCAAATGACTATACTTTGGATTTTATTATCTCAGTGTTAACGTTATTACGAAGTAATTTGTGGAAAATCTCAACTTTCAGATATCGTACATTCCATCATGAAATTTTACAACATTACGTAATCGACATACGTAATTGATCTCGGTAATCAGTTTAATCAGTTTACATGCCCAATAAGGGATATGTACGGTAATTTTATATTCTCACTTAAAAACCACAAAATGGATCGTTTTACTGTTCTCTTGTTTCCTCTAGTATTCTTGTTTCCTCTAGTATCCATCGCTCTTCTTTTTATAATTGGTGTGCTCTCACCTATTTGGATCCCGTTTGTTGGGTACGATTTTCAATGAATAAATAGAAAAAATACGTATATTCTGTGAAAATTATTTATAACTGGTATCGATCAACGTTGTTAGACTTTTTATTCTGTCTAAAGTTATGGAGACATTTCGAACAGTTGAAGATAATCCCCCTGAAACACTTCAAACCCTCATTACGTATGAGGAAAAGCCTGGTCAAGCGCAAAACTTTCTTGGTATACCTCATATGTGCTTGAATAACATAATTACAACGCATGTAACAATGTTTTGACGTTTGTTTCTTAATCTACTTGTAGCCCGCATGGGTAAGAACTTCAGGTGGCCCCTTTCTATGCCAAAATATCTCAGAAGTCATGCCTTCAGAAATATTGCTGATCGCGAGTTCGAATACGACGAAGAGGCTGGACTTAATATCATATTTTTCTACAACGCACTCGACAGAGGCGAATTTTCTGGACATGAAAACGAGTGGGTAACGGTGCACCACCAAAAAATAATCGAGTGTGGACAGGAATATAGCGATGATCAATTGGACCACGTTCTCGAAACTTTGCCTGGTGCCATCCAACTTCCGGTTGATCAGACACGTTTGCCACGTAGTCCGCCGGCGAAAATGGTGATTGGTCAGCGTGCTAATAATGGGGAAGACTACAAGGTTTGAATATGTAGATTTGAAGAATTTTTATAAATTTAGTACTTAGAGTAAAAGATGTATTTGTTTCTCGAGTTAATTTAATTTTTTTAATAAAGATAAGAGTTCGCGTCAGAAGACCTGGAGAAAGTAATATAGTTGCTCAGCTTACTTACGATTTTTATGACACCAGAAATAACAATAAAAAGTATACGTGCGTGATTGATACAGGTGCACCAAATACGATCTTGCCATATCATGTTAAAAGGGTACTTGGGAGTAGGGGGTGGAGTACGATACCAAGAATAGCTGGGGGCTACGGGGCACCTGCGGAACAAATTTGTGCGTCTAAGATATTTGAGGTGTCTATTGGAGATGATAATAATTGGACCAAGTGGGTTCAAGCCAGAATCCTACTCTGGCAAGAAAAACCAGGAAATCAAGTGGAATATGCCCTTGTCGGTAATGATGTTACGGATCAACTGGCATACGCACACGAGCCAAGGAACCCATTAAAGTTCTTAAACATTGCAGATGAGACCAGGCTCACCACGTTTTTGAATGGATGCAGTTAATCCCTTAGTTAATCACAACCTCGATAGGAATTTCGTATAAAATATGATTAAATAATGACATTGCTTTATCAATATGAGAACGGTATCAAGCCCAATAACAGTTAATTAATCAATCTTGCACTCTTAATTATTATTTCATAACATTCAGTCCATAATTTCTTGAGAATTTCATAATGCCAAGCATTACGGTTGATTAGGCACCTTATGCCTGCAAAGCAAAAAAAGTGGATACAGGAAGTCTGGTGGTTCGATTCCGCATACATATTCATGTATGTGTATTAATGAGTATCTATGATCGATAAATTTTTCTTGGCAAAAAAACCGTGAACCGAGTTCACGAAGTGATCGGCATATCCCAATTTTTTACTTGACTGTCTCTATATACAGTATACTAACGAGCTTTTGAATATTTCTGGTCTTGTATATAATTTATCGGACATGTCAAACGCTCAAGCTAACGGTTCATTAAGGGAATTAAATGCCAAGCTCTTAGCTGAGATTGCTGAGCTTAGGAAGAAGTTTGCTGAGATTAAGGTCGAGAATGACGAGCTTAAGGATAAGAATGCTGAGATCGTTGCTTTTAGTGATAAGATCACTGAGCTTAAGGCTGAGAGAACTGAACTTAAGGCCAGGATTGCCGAGCTTCTAAGACAGACTGTGGAAGAAAATAAAATGCGTGATGTTAAGGTCAAGGAATTAGAGCAAAAAAATTCAGAGCTTGAGACCAGACTCGCTATATTAGAACAGGAAGAAAAAGGTATTTCTATAAAAGATGTTTCGCGATCTCCAGTAAATTCTAACGATACTCCGGCATCTAACATACCTGATAATACTTTAAATTCTAGTATCACTCCTGAACAAATGGAAAATAGCTCTGATATAACATCTGATGATGTAAAACATCAAACTTATGGTTCATCTGATACATACCAAAAAAAGAATAGCCGATCCTCCATGCCTTCTATTACTATGAAAACTACATCATCGGAAGAGAAGAAAATAAATTATTTCCTGGATAGTGTACATAAAGAAACGATTAGTGAGAAAATAAGAAAAACGAATCTTAGATCTCAAGACAAAGTACAGAAAATCATGTCAGAAATTTCTGAAAACTCAAGTTCTATTAATAATGATAATATAGATAGGGATGTGACAACTACTATTCAGGATGAAGTGGAATCTCTGCCCAGCAATACTAACTTTACGCTTTTATATGGAAAACTTTGTGATGCTATAATTCTTGCTGATCGTAAAACCCAAGAAGCTATCGCGTGTTATTGCCTATTTGGAAAGGCTATTATTCAGAGACGTAATGAAATAGCATCGGAAAGACAAGTTGATCCAGAATCCAATACTGTTAGTAGAATTTTAAATAAAGAAGTAAAAGCACAATTACCCACAGACACTTCTGATAGCCTTTTACGTAAGAGAATTGAAAAAGCAAAGAAGCTTTATAAACTTTTTGATGCAATAGGTATGGATAAAATTTATCGTATTTATTCCTTTTCTGCTGACAGTATATCTAAATTAACAAAAAAGGAAATTCAGTATATTATAGATAATGTATCCTTTGATTATAGCATTAATGTAAGCCTGCCTCTGGCTGAGTTATGGGATGATGAGAAAAGTTCTGTAACCCAACTTTGTGAACCAAGATCACGAAGTGATTGGCAAAATTCTTGTGAGAAGGAAAATAATAATTCAGAAACACCTGCTTCCTCTATCCTATCGCCTAATACGTCTGATTCGGAAGATATGATAAGTAAGGATAACAAATCTTTACCAGTGAAAGAGATAAGCATATCTACTGGAGCAATTTTAAAGGATAAACAAGAAACTGCAAATGATGATAATAATACATGTATAAGCGAGAAAGCCGAATCTTTACTGGAGGAAGAGGTAGGTGAACCCGATGATTCTTTAGATTCTAACTCGGAACCCTCTGATGATGATAGGTTCTGTGGATTTTCTGATGATGATGATGAAGGATATTATTATGATTTAAATACCGGTGAAACTTATACAAAATCGGAACATCGTTATTCAATCCGCGCATATTAATAGGATAAAACCTCATTTATGGAATAGCTAGGAAGCTAGCACATCCGTGTTAAGATGATCCGCATCCGAGGTTTTTATATCTTTAGTTTTACTAAAGGCTCCACTATTGATCTTCAGCGCATGTCTTCATATAACCTAATTTTTACCACAGAGACTAGAAATACGTTTTATTTTTTTGTTGGTGATGAATTTCACTAAGAATAAACATTTCGGACATAATGCTCATAAAAATACCAACCTTATTTTTAAACTTCATAATCATTCGTGGGTCAATGCGATTACCAGTTAAGCGATCCATGATTTATCTGCATTTCATAATCTCTCGCTAATTAAACTGAATTAACGTTCATTATTAGTCTGTAGGATGATTTACATGATTATCTTCGATTACGCAAGAATACATGCTATTAGTGATAAAGAAATGCCAATATCTGATTACGTTTACTGTCAAGTTAAAAAATCGTTCTGGCATCTTCTCTACTTTACGTGAAAAAAAAAACGATGATCGAAACATAACCCTATAAAAGATGCAATTTTCTGATGCTTTGCAAAACCAACGTGGCATTAACAAAGGTCTTACAAAAACAAACTCATCGAACTTATTTTCACTTATCTTGAATCTGTTTCACGAAAATTGAGGTAGATATATCACTGCATTGTTTATATGCTAGGTTACCCTCCCCACACTCGTGTATATATGCTAACAGACTAATTTCCGCTTAAAGATGTCGATTGCTGTTTCAAATACTCCATTTCGGCGTATTAATGTTCGTTGAGAAGATCTCTATGTACTTGATCGTTGGCACCACGTTGTATCTTTCACGTTTCACTAAGCAAGAAGACAGACATAATGCCGATCCTTCTGCACATGATACCATGTCTAATGAAAGCCTTGCCACGAGTGATGCCCGACTCACTACTGAACTCGCTAATCGTGATGAAAAATTTATAGCAGAGATCCAAAGAATCTTGACATTAATTAATACTTCTACTGGGAGACTCGATGAAATCGAACAAGTCCTTCAACCTACCATAATAATTTTGGTAGAGTTGCAACTGAATTCGAATCAATCAATGGAGGATCTCAACGCTCCAAAACGAAATCAATCAATATTATGCCGTTGTCTAGGCACAAAGTGACGTTTCTCCAGAGATAAGAATTGAGCCTATCGAGGAAGTAAAACTTTGGGACGATTCATCCGACCAACAAAGTGATGCAAATCAATCCGAAGCATCTTCTGGTTCGAGCCGACGATCATTTCAGATACGACTTCAGAAATCTGGAACCAATCTAAAAAATTTTTGATAGAATTATGGCAGAAAGAGGATGTTCTTTTGATGATATGTGTAATGTTGTAATGGTTGAACTTCTTAATCTTGGGGTGGGAAAAATTGAAAAATTGGTAAAGATTCAATCAAAAATTATTATCGTAAAATCAATGATTTAAGAGGTAGTAACTTGGATAAAATAAGTGCTTGGATCGATAGTAAAACAGTTGCATGTAATCGTGAGTAGCGGGAAAGGAACTGCCAATATATTTTTACTTTCATTTTTTACTTAACCGGTCGGCCCTTTCTCATATATTATCTTACGAAAAAATAGCTTAGCATTAAAGCTCTGTTTCTCTAAGAAATAAAGGTAAATTTGACCTTTTAATTATCTAAGTAATTTTTCTTTATTAATGCGGTAAAAAATATGGTGATTAAAACATAAAGCCTAGATACATGATAAAATATATATTCTTTTTGCAGACCAAAAGTTAAAATAACAATACAAAGTTTCATCTCATAATAGAAAACTAATACAAATAATATAATATAAAAAACTATTGTCAAATTCGAAAATAACTATGCTCCATAGATTGCCCATTCTGAATGTGAAGAATGGTTATATAGTTATTGCCCCCCCTGGCCTTGTTGCGGAGATGGTGGTGGAGAAGCTTCTTGTGCCTGTTCCTGTGCCTGTACCGGTACGTGAGTCTCTGCTAAATCCATTAATTCATTTGCATTATCGATTTGAATAGTTGCACTTTCGGTGTTGTTGTTGTTAGCTTCCTGTGCTCCGTCTAATTCTTCGAGAGCTCTATTGTATAAACCTTCTGCTGACATGGTATATTTGAAGATTGTTTTATTTAAGAAATAGTACGGAAAAAAGCAGTCTTCAAGTAAATAATTCCAGATTTCCTATCTCTTAAATACTGGAGCAATTATTATCCTGTATTAGTTAGTATCATATGTATTACTGCGCCACAGTCACGTGACGTTGTGACCTCGGGTCACATTCTATGTAATAAATTCTAAAACACAATTAATTAAGCATTTATTAACTAGTTATTTATCTCAGTAACAAGTTTCCATATTCCGTGATTCGTAAGCGAATGCTAATTCGCACATATATGATATAGAGTTTCAAGGGAACAATCCTATGTAACCGCGGAAAATGATTTATACTGATTATATGTTATTTAATCTCATGCCTTTATTGCAGAGCAATGGCTCTTTGAGCCTACAGTTACTATTTGGATTGAATTCTGATATTTATTTTCCCAGCATCTGAGGCGATAGCGGAGCTGGCATGGCCAATACAAAATAAAACCCGAAATCTTTATTAATAAAAATTTTATATTGTTTATTTTTCGATTTATTATATAACATCATGGTTAATATCTTGTTGATCGATGTGTAATGGATATACATTTGAAATAGATTTCATGTATCAAAAATAAATTCACAGTACATAAGTGATTTATACATAAATATCACCAAATAAATTCTTTAAAATCAACTCTAAACTATTGCAAATCAATGTCCCTTCAGGTCTACAACTCAATATGGATCTCTCCCATTCTCATCGTATACATCACTAGCAAAATATGACGATTATACACAACTCATCTAATAACCCAGGCCCTATGGGTGCTCTTTGAGCATTCGCACTAAAAATGAATCATACATTCTTATACTATAGAGAACCAAATCTAATAGGTCTAATAGGTCTAAATCCTTAAATTCGATATAAATTACAAATTATGTCAGGTCTTACTATTACAACTATTATCGATAAAAAAGCTAAATCAGTGAAGATCATAATAATCGTCCTGGATATGATATGAAATATGTAATGTCGTATATCTACAATTATTGTGGAATTAGTGATTATCAACGATACTTTGATGATCTTTATGAGACTGAAAGACGATATGATACTTTATCAGTTATCTGACCCGATGAAACTCCACGACAATGGGCTATTCGGGTCAGAGTTCCTTTACAAGAGTTAGTTTCTGAAAAGAAAAGAAGCGTATATCACGTACATTGTTTATTTGGTGGATTTGGAAATTCTAAGCTAATTAATTATGATTACTACAGATCTAGAATCCATAAATCCAATGTAGCGATATGTCTAGATTGTATGAAACTTATTCATATTGATAATTTAAAATCAAAGAAATCATTCCATTTCACTAGAAAAAGGTATATCGAAATTATCGAGCCAGATGATTTGATGCAGAAACATTGGCACGAATGTGATAAACCTAAATCTCAAGATGGATATGCGAGAATTATACAAAGAGCTTGGAGACGACTCCAAGAAAAAGAGCCATCAAATGCACGACTTGCATGGAATAGTTTACCAAATGATAATATTCCAGATGATAAGAAATTTTTAGGTTTAATTCCGCAAAAAATAAAAAACCCAAACACCCTAGATCGATTAAAAACACGTCTTAATAAGGAATATGCTGAGTATATAAAAGAATATAATAGATTTCCATATATAGCTGAATTTGAAATTAGTATACATCAGGAATATATTATTCCATACAATTGGATAGGTAGAAAGAAAACCCAATTACGAGATAGATTTAGTAAGCGTCTCCAACAATTAGAAGTGTAATATATTACTCGAAGCCAGAAGAGTAGATGCAAAATGTGTTACAAACAGTAGATAACGACACATATCTTTTTCCAAACATGAGAGGAAAAAGGGCTGGTAACATTTTTTACTTTTATTTCTATATACATTTATTTTATCCGACACAAAAAACCCCTCTCCGTACAAATAGAATTTATTTATTTTTCAACATCTACTTCAGCCTCAATCAGGCTGGATACTGATAGCTATTTCATTTAAAAATAGTAGCGAATAAGATACCGAAAACATCTACCTCAATTCCAATCACGGCTGGATATGGACAGCTTCTTAGTAGAAGTGGCGAGTAGGATGTACTTATATTGCTGTATTAATAAATAACGAAAAAAATAATTATTTGATTGACAAACCTTGGTTTATTCATCCAATGTCAAAATTTTATCCCAGCTGACACGTATTCTATGCGGATGCTCGGGAGGTACACTTAGATCAAAGACGATAAATTTCTGTTCACATAAATGCTTGTTAATAATTTTATAATAAATGCGCCAGTCATTAACATATAAACGAAGCATTCTGCTTAACTCATCTGAGATACATGAGCCGTTAAAAAGTACAACGTATTTTAAGTTTTTTCTTATTAGTTTTGGACAGTCAAAATAACTTTGTGAGATGTATATCAAAGAAACATTGGAATGGCGTCCTTCAGTAAAATAAGGTATTATCTTTTCTTGAATTTTCTTTGATTCGGTGCATACATCCTCAAATATAGCCACTGTACTTCTTTCTGAAGAGAATGAATCTAGTTTTGGGATTTTATCAGGCTTCATAGCCCGAAATATAATATCTTCATGATGTGGTTCTGAACTATTTGCGATTATTTGATATATAGATTTAAGGTACATATATTTAGGTTCTTTGAGATGGTGTCCAATAAGTATCACATCATCACACTTAATATATCTAACACCTCCTTTTTTACCATTAAACATTCTATATAGTTTATTCCCAGACAAAAGACGAACAACTTCAGTAGATTTTCCTGTATTAGTCCAACCTGAAATTAAGCATGTGAAGGGCCATTGAGGAGTCGAATTCTTACTATTATATTTCTCTGGATTCTTGTATTCGTCTATATTTAGAACAAGCTTCTCAAGTGGATCGAGCTTTTCTATTTTCATATTGATCAAGCTAAGTAATACTAATTATAATACCCAAATATATATCCTATGTTTTTTATTCTGATAAATTATCTGTATCCGACTCATTATTTATATCTGCCGGATTCCAGCCAGGAATAATAATATTAGGATTTCTACTTATTAAAGTATTAATGGCAACATCAGAGAAATAATGACAATCTTCAATACTAAGATACCGCAAATTATGACACAAATGTGCTATTGCATAAATAGATATATCAGTAATATCACAAGATTCGAGTTGAAGATCTTCGAGCTTAGGGCAGAATCGTGCTATCTCACAAATAGACTCATCAGATATAGGGTAACAGTAAACAAGATTGGGATATTTAAGGTTCAGATTTGATTGTGCATTTTTTTTAACAGATATATCAGTAATCCCTTCACAGTCCTCTAAGGCATATAATTGCATATTTGGACAAGTTGAAGAAATTGCACATATACCCCCATCTATTATTTTTTGGCATCCGACTAAACTTAGAATGAGAAGTTTTGGGCACGATTCGACAATCTGTTTTAATGATGCATCAGTAATATTACTTGTCTATAAACCAAGATATTCTAAATGTGGGCAGTTTTGTGCAATCTTGATTATAGATATATCAGTAATATGCTTATTATATCCCAATTTCAGGCAACACAAATTAATACATGATTGAGCAACTGTTCTCAATGACATATCAGTTATCTTATAAGATCCAAGTTTTAGGTGTTGTAGATTTGGACATGAATTCGTGATTTTACATAAAGTTGTATCCTTCATATTAGTAATATTACTAGATCGTCTTATACCTTTACTATTATACGAAACACTGAGAGATTCCAGGGGACAAATTTGTATAATCTTACTAATGACTCTATTAGATAAACCATGACACCATTTGATCTTTAGATGGCGTAAAGTGGGACAGGATCTAACAATTTCATATAGCTCATTATTAGAGACCTTGCAACTAGAGATATGAAGTTGAAATAAATATAAAGCATAAGATTTTCGATTTCCACACATTATCTTTTTGAATTTACCCCACTTCATATAAGATTTTTTTAGATCATCAGAAAATTCGGCCTTTCTCCATATTAAAGGAACAGAGCATAAATACCACAACCTGTTAACGAATAAGGTTAGATATAATGTTTTATCTTTGGCAAGATATGAGAAAATTTCGATTAAAAGTTCAGGCAAGGCAAGTGAATGAAGTTTATTATATGTCATATTATCATATGAGTTTATTGTTTATGCGATAAATAACTTTTCTCAATTAAAATATTTCGGATAAAATTATATAAATTCGCATTATATGGTATTAAAATAAGATCTATACCTTCTCGAGCACATACATCCCGCTTTTTTTTGTCTTGCATCTGTTGCTCATCCAAGTCTATTTTGCCTCGCTTATGAAACATTAAATTTTTAGAAAAATATTGGACGCCCTGGAATTTATATACCAATTTCAATTCTTCGTTATACCCATCTAATTGCATCCCATTCAAAAATGGCGGTTTACAAGATGGAAATTTCTTACCTAGCAGATCTTCGAAAATATATCGAGTGGATCTCTCATCTTTAAAATGTGAGCAAATCGGACACCATTCAAATTTTCGCTTCTGGATTTCATAAGGTGCATACCATTGATGGAGCCCACATGTCCAGAGATATACATCGTAACCATTTATTTGATTAGTTTTACCAAGACACTCCCCACCACGTTTTTCAGCATAAGCTTGCGCCTTAGCCATTTTATTAATAATATGGATAAAATTAACAGACCTGGAACAAGAATTTTCTTCCAATATACTCTGGGACGGATACTGAAGTTTTTCTAGATCTACGCGCATCAGCTCCTCTCGTACAAATCCCCATTTTGGTGTAAACTTGTTGCCTTAGAGATAATATAAAATTGGTTCATTCTTCGTTACTACAATTTTTCGGATTTTATGTAAAGAAGGTGAAAATGTTGGATCCGTAGCCCTTTTCTGATTTTCCATACCACCTTCCCACTCCGCATTAGCAAGCAGATAGCGAACACTAT